AACCATTTCCATACAATAAAACTGATACAGCTCTCTGAAGTAATGCCATCTTTGGATATCTCTTCTTTAGCATCATTGATACAATGACACACAACGACATCACTCTTTTACCATTATCTTTCCCTGGAATCATCGATAGAAGTAGTGAAACACAAGTAGGCATATTCCGAGACAGTTCATAAAATAAGCTATCCCACCTGAAGTTCCTTACACCTTCATTAGAATCACGAATGATGGAATCATGACTATCTGAACATATGTCCTTCATCTCTTTCCTAACTATCATAGCAACCCGCCGCAGTATAGTAGTTGAAGTGGAAGTTTCAGATAGCATGTGTGATGAGAAAGACCTCAAACTTTTCCTAGCTAATCGTTGAATAGCATTCCGTCTCCATGGGGTATGGATTGTAAAATTACGAGTTCCAGAGGGCCATTTAATTTGTACCTATTTTAAGTAATGAATGACAGTTAGGTCATTATGGAACACTAGCTATACACTTACCGAAACACCTAATGCTTGCTGTGTCTCCTCACACGGTACATTTGAGTTGCCAGACTCTTCCTGAGATTCTGGTTGTCGTACAACTGACTCAGCATTAGACTCATCTTGCCGTATAGCCTTATCTACTGGAGTGTTGGCTGTAATGGGGTCTGGCAAGCTCCTCTTCCTCTGTCCAGGCTGTCCTTGATTTAAGATTAGTGCCTGGTTACTTTGAAAAGCAGTAGTGATGGACAATAGTAGCTCTTTCTCTTCATTCTTTAGCTTCTCACGTAAAGCTACCAGTGACTCTGCTTTTGCCCTGCACTTATGGCAAAAGAAATCGGTTTGATCAACATTTGTGCCAAGAGTGAACTTCATGTTTAAAAAACGAAGTGCTATATCATCCAAAACATTTACTGTGACTTTCCCAGCATTTCCAAGGGCTTTTACTCTTTTAGCTTTCATTGTTCCTTCACTAACGTCCTCACAACATAGACAGCATTTATACATTGCCATCTTACCAGACACGTGGTTGCACGTGGCACACCCCCAATTATAATTAAATTAAAAATTCAACGATTTTGCATTATCTATGTTGGGCTTCCTATTATCACCTCACTTCCTTGAACAACTTGGTGAAGGTCAGTCTACCAGACAGGGGCGTAGCTGGGAAGGAAATGATGAGGGGGCCTGGAGACAAATGGCGCGCGAAGCGCGCCGAAAATTTGGCCACACCCTTTTTAGCGTTCGTATAGTGCACTAAAATAGCATTTTGCGTATTTTAAAAGCATCAAAATCTTACATTTTCAACAATGATTAATATAAAATGAATGTTTTGCTTCTGTCTACTTCTTATTTCTTGTACATTTGCTGCTGTGCAATGTATTGTAAATGATTACAAGGTGGTTAATTTTTATTACTAGGTGGTAAGTAATAAAACAAACAATGAATATCATTATCTCCAACAATTGATGGGGGGGCCCAGGCCCCTGTAGGCCCCCCCTCAGATACGCCCCTGCTACCAGACCCATCCCGGAGGCACGGAGGGCGGGTCTGGCCACGCGAGACTAGATCCGAGGCTAGATCTAGCTCGAGATCTAGTCAAGCTTGTTTAGGTACTTTAATTTTGATAATTAATCCACTATTGATTTTTGAATATACTTGTAGATATTGGTAATTTGATTGATGTCATTGACTTATTAAAGAAATGTGGCTTTCAAGGAATAAAGTGGCAAGAGCTAGGGCTGAGATTAGGACTACTGAAAACTACACTGGATGCCATTGAAATGAAGCATCGTGGTGATGTGTACCACTGCTGACTGAA